CCTACAGCAAGGAAATTATAATTATGTAGACTATACAATCTCTGTTAGACCTATCAACAACTATGTAGTGCGGAGGGCTGCGTGATTTGATACATTAGTATCATTAATTATAGTTGGGTTGATTAATTTTTCCTTGTATTTCTAGCAGAGATTGTATAGTGAATGGCTACTTTATAGGAGAAGAATAGAGGGGACCTTAAGGGCTGGGTCACACCATAGAAACGCAGTCCAGATGCGTTCTGGGTGTGTTTCTGCCTGCATGCTTTTGATGCTTTCCGGTTAATTTTTTCCCCTTTTTCTGCAATTTAAGTAGGGACATGTGCTTTCCTGTGTGTTTTTTTTTTTTTTTTTTCCCCCAAGTGCGTTTTTGATGTGTTTTACCACGTTCCAGTATAGTTCTGTGCAGGAAAAATGCAACCTGTACTTTTTTTTTTTCTTCAGCCGCAACGCACTGGAACTGAAAGCACTGATGTGAACTTTGACACTGCCAATTATATAACCTACTTCTGTGTGTTTTGGGTGCAGGAAAAAAGCACACCGAAACGCATGTAGTATGAACTGGCCCTTAGTGATTCTGTCACTAGCAAGCTGTAATCAGTAACAGAGATTTGATAGTGTGTGGTTTACTTATGTTATAGTTTCCTTGCTGGTTAAACCTGCGAGATGTTGCTGCTCCTTCACTAGTGATTTCATTTATGTGATGTCCATCACATAAACAGGGAGCTGAACCCAATTCTGCCATTTTAACATAAAGGTATCACTCCCACTCTTGGGAATCTTGGGAGGGAGCAGTGTGACACATAACCATGGAAGAAATAATAGGGAGTTCTAAACGAAAGCTATGCAGGCTATTCATTTTCATTGGGCAGCACAGTGGCTAAATGGTTAGCACTTCCACCTGGCAGCACTAGGGTCATTGGTTCAAATCCCAACCATGGCACCACCTGCCTGGACTTTACATGTTCTCCCTGTGTCTGGATACTCCGGTTTCCTTCCATACTCCAAAGACATGTTGGTAAGTTAATTGGATCCTGTCTAAATTGGCCATAGTATGTATGAATGTAAGTTAGGGATTTTAGATTGTACACCCCTTGAAGGTTACGGACTGATGTGAATGTACAATATATATGTAAAGTGCTGTGTAAATTGATGGCGCTATAGAAGTACCTGTAATAATAATTTTAAGGAGGCATTCCCTCCTAATGCCATAGCCAGCAGCACTGATCATTGTATCATTGGTCATTGTATTTTGACATCGAGAGTGATGCCCCCACCACATTGTGTGTAGATGGGGCAATAAATCTTTTTTTTTTTTTTTTATTTTTAAGTTCAACCTGCTGAATGTATGAGCTGCCTTACCTACTCCTATTAAGTTACTCCTGGCAAGAAAAATTCTCTAGTGGTTTTGGACACTGAGGGAGGTAGCAGCAGATGAGTGCGCTCTTTTGCTGTTGCTTGCAAGTTGCTGCTCATGACTAGGAATAAGCATGAATTTGGTCCAAACTTGGGTTCGGACTGAACTCAGAATGAAGCTGTCATTCCCACAAGCTGCCACTCAAATGCAACCAGGACATTCCCCTGCCACACAGCTTCACATAAACAAAAGGGCAGAGATGCTCATGATACTGCTGACCTAATATAGCCATATAGTCTTTGTCCTAACGTGGCCAATGTCATTGACCCAATATGGTCGTATGGCCGTTGTCCTAACATGGCCAATGTCATTGACCCAATATGGTCGTATAGCCGTTGTCCTAATATGGCCAATGTCATTGACCTAATATGGTCGTATAGCCATTGTCCTAACATGGCCAATGTCATTGACCTAATATGGTCGTATGGCCGTTGTCCTAACATGGCCAATGTCATTGACCTAATATGGTCGTATGGCCGTTGTCCTAACATGGCCAATTTCATTCATGTAATATGGTCATATGGCCGTTGTCCTAACATGGCCAATGTCATTGACCTAATATGGTCATAGGGCCTTTGTCCTAACATGGCCAATGTCATTGACCTAATATGGTCATATGGCCTTTTATCCTAACATGGCCAATGTCATTCACATAATATGGTCATATGGCCGTTGTCCTAACATTGCCAATGTCATTGACCTAATATGGTTATATGGCCGTTGTCCTAACATGGCCAATGTCATTGACCTAATATGGTTATATGGCCGTTGTCCTAACATGGCCAATGTCATTGACCTAATATGGTCATATGGCCTTTGTCCTAACATGGCCAATGTCATTGACCTAATATGGTCATATGGCCAATGTCATTGACCTAATATGGTCATATGGCCTTTGTCCTAACATGGCCAATGTCATTGACCTAATATGGTCATATGGCCGTTGTCCTAACATGGCCAATGTCATTGACCTAATATGACCATGTGGCATATTAGGTCATTGATTTCTTGAGCATGCCCACCCCTTTGTGTGTGTGTGTTGCATCGGGGAATGCCCTTGTCACAGATGATTGGGTGTGGGAGTGACAGCTTCCATCCAGGTTCGCTGTGAACCCAAGTTTCGACCAAACCTGCTCATCCTTACTCGCGACATGATCACTACTGCATTCATCCAATAACACAGTGAGCCTGATTTACTAATTGAATTGGGATCTTCACTCAACAAACTGTCTGAATAATCACTACAAATACTGTATCTAATCAGTGGGTGTGCACTTTGAATACCTGAAAAATTATGTGCTGATGCCACACAACTGGACAATTGAAGTGAATTTGTTCTTAAAAAAATCATACCTGTATAAAATGTAGAAACTGAAACCATGAAGCAAATTGCTGGCACTTTTATAAGGAGCAGTAAAGAAAATCTTCCCTCTAGTCTAGTCCATAAGAAACAAGTGTAGGGCTGGTTTTAAAATTAACAAGACTGAGGGTAAAGTTCAAAGATTAAACCTCCACCAAATTAGTAAAACTAATATTTAAATGTTTGCTTGAACTGTGACAAACTTTGTGTCAGTATACAATGAACAGTATTTTTTCCAATAAGGGGCAAAACATTTATATTTATTAAGAGCCCATTCACACTTGTGCAACTTGTCATGCGACTTTGGGGTCCAAAATCGCATGAGAAGTTGCACCCCATATTTTCCAATGGGCACCATTCATATCTGTGCGACTTCAAATTGCAGCGACTTTAAAGTAGTTCCTGCACTACTTTAGTCTGATTTTCATGCAACTTGAGGGCCAGAGACCTCAGTGTAAACCCTGCAAAGTAGCATGAAAATCGCACCTGAATGTTGTACATGCGACTTGTGTGCATCAAAATCATACCAAAGTCACTTCAATCTCATATCAAGTCGCAATGAAAATCGCATGATTTTGAAGTCGAACAAGCATGAATGGACCCTAAATGACAATATAAATAAATCAAATGACAAAAAATCTAATTTCATCATAAATTTAGGCCAAAATGTATTTTGCTCCATGTCTTTGCTAAACAAAATCCTAATACATGTAAATGAATTGGTTTACGTGAAGTTTTTTTTTTAATACTAGTAATGGTGGTGATCAGCGACTTGTAGCGGGATTGCAGCAGGCATTCTGACACTGGGGGGGAAATGACTAACTGTCACTGACATCCCCAGTGACACTAATACAGTGCTCAGTGCAGGGGCTTCCCTAGGCAGGTGCGGACCGCACTGGGTGACACCTATTGCACGGGGTGACACCGGACCCACTCCACGAAAAGGTAGGTTTTAAAGCAAACCGACAATCCCCACAGGATGGATCGGATCTGCAGATTGAGCATAATGGATCGGAGTCCGATCCATTATCCTCCCCAATCCGCAGATCCGATCCATCCTGCAGGGATGGTCGGCTTGCAACCTATACAGGGTTAACTGATCTCTCCACGAAAAGGTAAGTTGTACAGCAAGTCGACGATCCCCGCGAGGTGGATCGGATCTGCAGATTGGGGAGGATAATGGATTGGACTCCGATCCATTATGCTCAATCCGCAGATCCGATCCAACTTGCAGGGATCGTTGGAGGGGGTGTCACCAAGTGTTACCGCACCAGGTGACACCAACCCTAGGGACGCCCCTGGCTTAGTGCTAATAAAAAACACTGACACTGTAGTAATGTCACTGGGCAGGAAGGGATTAACATCTGGGGCGATCAAAGGGTTAACCTTGTGCTGTGTGTGTTTCACTTTGTCAGTACATTTCTTTGTATTGCTCTGCTATGCAGAACAATACAAAGCAGTGTGCAGGAGCTGACAGGAGAGATTTGTATTGTTGACATACAGGTCTCTCCCCTGTCGGTGATACTAGGTGATTGCTGGGTGCAGGTGGGGAATCACTGGCTGGGACCGTGTGATCGACAGCTGAGGCATATATATATGTGATTTTGCACAACCCTGACACCCTGTAGCAGTATTATTTCTATAGAGTGGCGGAAAAGTGGTTAAATGGTGTTTAATTGACAGTCTCTGCATGTATGAATGTTTTTTTTGTCAGATTTTATTACATAGTTCGTCTGGCTGAAAAAAGACCAAAGTCCATCCAATCTCTTATCAGTTTCGTTGTCCTTCTCTTTACTTTCTCCAATGTTCTTTTTGTGAATTGGTGCCCAAAAGTGAACTGCATATTCCAGATGAGGTCTTACTAATGATTTGTACAGGGGTAATATGATATCTCTCTCTCTGGAGTCTATACCTCTTTTAATACAAGAGAGGATTTTGCTTGCTTTAGAAACTGCAGCTTGGCATTGCATGCCATTATTAACTAGTTGCCGACCACAGATAGCCGAATGACGGCTTCACTGCGGCCGGCCAGTTCTGGGTGGACGTCATATGACGTCCCCCCCCAGAACGCGCTCTCCTGCGCGCCCCAGGGGGCGCGCTCCCGGCGATCTCCGTGATCGCTGTGTCCTACGGACACAGCTGATCACGTGATGTGGTAAAAGGCCGATCCCAGCGGCCTTTTACCACGTGATCAGCGGTGTCCAATGACACGCTGATCACAGGGAAATGCAAGTGCCGGTTCTCAGCTGCACTTTCCTCACGCTGTCAGATCGTGAGGAAAGTACTGCCGAGAACCGGCAGTTGTCACAGCGGGGATCGGCACCGATCATCAGGACACTGATGATCAGTGCCCTGATGATCGGTGCCCAGCAGTGCCACCCGCAAGTTCCACCCACCTGTGCCCAGCAGTGCGCCCACTAGCGCCGCCCACCTGTGCCCAGAAGTGCCACCCACCTGTGCCCAGAAGTGCCACCCACCTGTGCCCACCCACCTGTGCCCACCCACCTGTGCCGCCCACCAGTGCCACCCACCAGTGCAGCCCAGCAGTGCTGCCAGTCAGTGCCCAGGGGTTGTGCCAGTCAGTGCCGCCAGTCAGTGCCCAGCAGTGATGCCAGTCAGTGCCGTCTATCAGTACCCATCATCAGTGTCACCTATCAGTGCCGCCTATCAGTGCTGCATATTAGTGCCGCCTATCCGTGACACCTCATTAGTGCTGTCTATCAGTGCCGCCTATCCGTGCCACCTCATTAGTGCTGCCTATCAGTGCCCATCAGTGCTGCCTATCAGTGCCCATCAGTGCTGCCTCATCAACGCACATCAGTGAAGGAGAAAAAATACCTGTTTGAAAAATTTTATAATAGAAACAAAGAAATTTTTTTTTTTTTCAAATTTTTTGCACTTTTTTTATTTATAGCACAAAAAGTAAAGCGCCCAGTGGCAATTAAATACCACCAAAAGAAAGCTCTATTTGTGAGAAAAAAATGATCAAAATTTCATATGGGTACAATGTTGCATGACCGCGCAATTGTCAATCAAAGTGCGGCAGCGCTGAAAATTGGCCTGGTAAGGAAGGGGGTATAAGTGCAGGTAGGCAAGTGGTTAAGCTTGTGATCTACCAGAACTCCCAGATCCTTCTCCGCCATTGATTCCCCCAATTGTACCCCCCCCCCCCCCCCCCCCCCCCCCCCAGTATGTATGATGCTGTGCTTTCATCCTCTGACACACAGCACAAACAAAATAATAATCTAAGTGGGGTCACCAGGAGAGGAAGCCACAGGCATCCGTTAAAATCTCAAGGTTTCCAAACTTTCCCAGTATTAAAGCTGAATTCCAGGTATGGCAGATTTACGTAGTTACATTGGTCCAGCTTGGGTCAGTGTAAATATGTATGTGTCAAGCCTGTCGGATCCCCCTGATAGCTGGAAATCAGAGGTGAGCAGTAACAACTAGGCCTCACTTAACAACTTCCTGGGAGTATTCCAGTCAGTCTTCAGGAGGTTTGTAATGGCCTACACCTATAGCAAGGGTATTCCTCAACTTTCGTCAAAGCTGCCCAGTTTGTTTTTATCTACAGACCTCCCTTATCTGCATAGGCAGGTTTTTTTTTTGGGGGGGGGGGGGGGGGGGGGGGTGTAAAGGTGAACTATCCCTTTTGTACTCTATTAAGAAAACATTCTGGCTGAAGTTTTAAAATAAGAACAAGAGCTGGGGCGTATTCACACTTATGTTTTGTGGTAAGGCAAAAACACGCACTGTAACACGTTACCACACATCTATGGAAACACTCATGTTTCTGCACATTTTGATTGTGAATCGCACACCAATGCATTGTACAGTAGAGCCCAATGCACTGCAGAGAACTACAACACAAATACTGTGTATTGTGGTGTGCTGCATCTTTTTTTTTTTAACTGGTTATGTATGTTTCCATTATGATGTGTTGGCTCCCCATTTATAATGAACAGATTTCATTGGATTCCTGCTGAATCTCGAACCATAGGTGGCCCTGAGCTGAATGTAAAGTTCTTGGTTGAATAATGAATGTGTCCTAAAAGATGCAGTCATTGACAATGCCACTGTATTTACAATACAATAGTCAACAGTGGAGATTCCCCCATCCACACTATTTAGTAGGCAGAATGAAAGAACATTGAGCCCTGTATGACTGCCTTCACACAACACGTGTTGCACAAAGTAACATGGGTAAGATGTATATACCAACTCCCCCTAATGTAATGTAAACTTAACCCCCTTGTTTCTATACACCTAGTAGATGGGGCACCTGCCGAGTACTTCAAGCTGAATTCCAGGTATGGCAATTTTTGCATAATTATATTGTTCCAGCTTAGACCAATAGAAATATGTATGCGCCATACTTGTGGATGCTGGAAATCACTGTAGTGGGTGCCCATACTACAGTGATTGCTGCTGGCTTCTGAGTCCTGTGCTGAAAGGCTGCCTAGCTACTTACTGAACACAGGAGGTCGCCTGTTTGTCATGGGCGCTATTCAAAGAACAATTTCCATTTTATCAATAAATGCTAAGTGTTCTCTGATTGGATGAAGTGGAGATTGTGCCTCTACCTCAGCCAATCAGAAAATACATAGCACTCTGTGAGAAAATGGAAAAGTGTTTCCTGAATGGTGCCACTGCCAAGTGAGCAACCTCCTGTGTTGGGCAGGACTCAGAAGCGAGCGAGTGGAGATCATGGTAGTAGCTGTGTCTGCAACAAAGACTTCCAGCTTCTACAGGGATCCCACAGGTAAGGGACATACATACTGTACTTACTTTCGTCCAAGCCTGTAGCCAGTTTCAGTCTGTTTTCTCCACTGTTGGTGGCGGTCAGCCTGAGTAGTACCACAGCCTAGAGAGCAAGTCAAGGGAAACATGGTTTCTCTATAGTTTTCTGGGTCAGTGGAGCAGCACTTCAGTTGGCTACACTGTGGCCATATGACCATTTGGGTCAGCAGGATGTAAGTCGCTGCCCCTTGGCGCACTTTCTGCGAGTGACCAGTGTAGGGAGAGAGACCCCGCTTACTAGGGAAAGTAGGGATAAGGTTCCAGATGAGAAGAGACAGTTTAGGGACTTGCTATCCTAGAATGAAACCTCCCTGCTTGGCACCAGACTGGCCAGGCCACACTCCTACCTCTGAGACTGACACTGTCATCATCTCTCCTTAGCCACATTTTGAACTGCACTGAACTGTGAGTGACTCTCTAGCGGTGCTCTCCCGCTAGGGTGTTTGTAAATTTGGCATTCTACTGAATACAAATGTCAAGTTTATTGCAATCAGACTCTCTGTGGTTACTGCCGCCGCACCACGCTGCATCTCTCCATGAGCTGGACCAATGTAAAAAATTGCCATACCTGGAATTCGTCTTTTAAAAACCTCTAATTTCTATCACGCTTATTATTCTATGAGTAAGCTATAAAAAGTGTGAAACCTAACCAGCTTTTTTTTGGATGTACATCTTCTGCACTGCTGGGTACACACTGTGAGATGTTTTTTTTTTTTTCTTTTCTTTAAACCTCGCAGATTTCTGAATCCACACAAGTCACATGAATGCAGGAATCTCCCCAGCTGTGCTTTTGTATTCCATTAGTGGGAACCCCGTCCCCACCACCACCCCAGCCAGAACACACTGGTCAGTGCTGTAGGACTGTTCAGCAGAAGACAGTCTGGTCTAATGAGAGGGTCACACGCAGATCAAAATTTGCCCGGTTACAGCTAAACCAACTGAAGCTCAGTACATGTATACCCAGCTTAAGACTACCAAAGCAAAAAGTTTGTCATCCGAACACCAAGTATCTCCAGAATGAGTCCAAAGCTTTATTCAGCAATCACATCATTGTTACAAAAGAGATTTTTCAGAGCCTCGCAGGACCCTTTCACATGCCTTATGGCATGTGGTCCTGAGAGGCTCTGAAAAGTCACTTTTGTAACTACTGTGTGATGTGTTCACTGAATAAAGCTTTGGATTTGTTCTGGAGATCCTTGGTGTGCTGGTGACTTACTTCTCGTCTTGAATGTCTTTGGTTTCTAGCCAGTGGTCACTGCAACACCCACTTACATTTACAGCCATTTTTATGAATGTGTGTGTTGGTATATTTCAGTACAGGGAAAGTAGTCTTAAGCTGAACACAATATTCCCATCACCGAGGTCCAGTACCAGAAACTACTCATTTTGTTTCCATGCAAATATTCAGGACTATCTTTAGTTATCAGTAGGGCAAGTTCATGGAGTACCTGCTTGGTGCAAAAACAATTCATATGTGTTCATGGAAAGAGCTTTTGTAAGTAAATTATGACATAGGTAGGATCCTCCCATGTCAATCTTCCTCACAGATCTTTGGATATGTAGGGATGCTTTGCTACATTAATGATGTATGCTGGCTATACGCTTTATTGTTTTATGTCTATTCCTTACCAGGTATACCAGGGGTTCTGCTCATAAATATCCGCATGGACTCAGCAGTATATGGCGTTGTAGGAGAATCAGTCAAGTTGTGGTGTAGCTTCTACTCAACTGTTCCTAATTCGGAATTAGCAAATGTGGACTGGAGATACCGCCCTCCGGAAGGCCCTGCTTTTACAGTGAGTTATGTCATTTAAAAACCAAAAATATCTTTAGATATGTAAATATGGCCCTACATAGAAGACAGTAGCTGAATCTTGTATGTAGGATTATTTCATGTATTGGGTATGTACACAGACATGCATGAATATATGTGAATGGTAGATACTGCTGGTTCTCCATTTTAAGTTTGTATTATTTTTTTAATTAGCAGTATATGTTAAAAATGTGTGGATAGAGATATGTGATCTACAGTTGTGCTAGGACTCTTATCCTGATCCTTACCTTACCCTCTAGTGTATTACTCATCAGGAACTAATATGCAGGATGTCAGTTTAGATTATTCACACTTCACTGTCAGCATGCTTGTTCCAAACACAAGGACAAAGGGGTGCTGGATTTGGTTTTTCTAAGGGTTCGTGAATTTGTTACTGGGCACACTGGCTCCGCTTCGGCAGCATTCCACAAAATGGGGACCACCCTCAGGAAAAAGAGAAAACGACCCAGAGTTGAGAATCCACACACATTCAATCCAATGAGAGTGTCAAACAAATGTCCAAGAGTCCAAGGTAATTTAATGATAAAATTAATTAATAGCTAAATAGAACCAATGGGGTTTATTTACTAAAGCTGGAGAGTCCAAAATCAGACTCCCTTCTGCATAGAAACCAATCGGCTTCTAACCTCAGCTTGTTCAATGAAGCTTTGGCAATGAAACCTGGAAGCTGATTGGTTTCTATGCAGAAGTGAGTCTGATTTTGGACTCTCCAGCTTTAGTAAATAAACCCCAATGTGTCTAACCTGCCTTCTTGAAACTTTCAAAGCAGTAAATCATAATGCAGTTTTATTTGAAACTGCTCATCTGGTACATTCAAGCTTAAGCCATTCTTAAGCTCTGACGAAGGGGGAGTTTGTTCCCACCAAAATGTGTTGTTTCTATTCTGCTATGAATCAATTTTAATATTAAATAACCTTGCACTATAGGGTGTTTATTTAGCGCGATCATTGGATTGCCTGGTTGGTCCAGGCCAGGAGCTCGCTATGTAGTGAAGACAG